TTTTAATTTTTAGATTTCTTTTATTTGAATATTAGAATGTTATGATTTGAATTTCAAAATGTTATGATTCAAATTTTTTTGATTTCTTTTATTTGAATCTCAGAATGTTATGATTTGAATATTAGAATGTTAGAATTAGAATTTTAAGATGTTATGATTTGAACTTTTAGATTTTCTTTATTTGAGTCTTAGACTGTTATGATTTGAATTTTTAGATTTCTCTTTTTTGAATTTTAGAATGTTATGATTCGAATGTTATATTTCGAATTGTTGTCATGTTATGATTTGAATGTTAAAATGTGTTTTGAATGTTGATGATTTAAATCTAAGATGGCATGTGATTTTAATTTTTATAATTTATGGCTAAACTGATCAGTGGAGGGTTTAGTACTGGGGGTTTCTTCACTGAGCGCCCATCCGTCTTATCCAAGCGTGTTTGTCTGAAATATTCATGAATGAATTGAAAACAGTTAAATGTATTAAAATTACACTCCACTACACTGTGTCTGTTAAACTGACCAGCACTTTAAAAATAACTGGATGAACGTTGCTGACCCCTGGTGTTGAGTAAGAACAACAAATAACACAGACGACTGGAAAACCAAGTTTCTGCTGGGACCAGATCCTGCAAATCTGTACCAACAAATGCCAACTCAGGCTTGTCCCGAATTATTGTCTGTCTTGCAGAGAAATAGTGTGTCAAAATCCTACAAGTGAGACTATGATTATATCAGGCTAGTGTAGCTGCAGTCAATTTTCCTAAATAAACTTGTTTAATGAAAGTACTACAAGCTTAATTTCAGATCTATGCGTTGCCTCCTTTAGTTAGAACAGACAGAAATTGTGTAATAACATTCTAGGAGCACCTAATGGAAACAATAAAATAGAAAAATAAATCACCATAGTTGGAGTAGGGCTGCGAGGTGGATCGATGGTTGGCATCGTTTGCTCACAGCAAGACGGTTGCCGGTTTGCGTCCCAGTGAGGACACCCGGGATTTTTCTGCGTGGAGTTTGCATGTTCTCCCCGGGTTCTCTGGCTTCCTCCCACAAGGTCCAAAAACATGTTGAGGTTAATTGGTGACTCTAAATTGTCTGTAGGTGTGAATGTGAGTGTGCTTGGTTGTCTGTCTCTAAGTGTAGCCCTGTGATAGACTGGTGACCTGTCCAGGGTGTCCCCTGCCTTCACACTAAGTCAGCTGGGATAGACTCCAGCCACCCGTGACCCTAGTGAGGAGTAGGAGGTGTATAGATGGATGGATAGTTGGAGTATATCAGTTACTCTGAATTAAGAATTAAGGATTGGCTCTGGAATTGAACACATTAAAGACTACTACAAATTTCTACAGAGAAATCCCTTCATTTGAAACCAATAAATGAGAATGTCAGACTGACACCTGCAAGTTTTGCAACCTCTGCAAATGATGCTCAACGTCACTAAAGGTTTATCAACGAAATGTTAAGATTTCATTATTTACCTGCTTAGTTTTAGACTCTGACTTCGCTCTGACTTTGTCATTTCTCTGCTGCAGCAGTAATCTTTGTGCCTTGTCTTTGAACGGACCAGTGTAGCGGTGAAAGAAAGCATCTCTGGGATGATGCATGTTCATGTTGGCCTCTAGATGGCGCTGATGGATAAACAAAGACGTTAAGGACACTAACTGAAGGGAAATGAGTTAAAAAGAAGGGCTACCTAAGTATGGAGGCAGAGACCAATATTTCAGTACTGACTATGGATAATTATTGATTACTGTTTCTAAAGAACACTGTCCTCTCATTGAATTATTGTGGCTTATCTGCAGACAACAGAGCAAGAGTCTTTGTGATCATCAGCGTCCTGAACATTACAGCATTTGTACAGTATATATCAACCTGTTCCATCTGACGCCTGGCCTTGGCCTCTTGGTCTGGGTCTTTGCTGCTGTCTTGAATTGTCGTCCTCCTCCAGCGCTCAGCTTTGTCTTCATCCCCTGCCTATCAACAGCAAAAACCTAATTTAGACGCTGTGGGAGTGAATCAGTCAGCCTGTCAGAAGATTAAAAAAAGAATACACTTTTTTGGTAATCCCTGCCAAGAGCATCCTCCCACACAACAGCCTGACATTGTGTTCTTGCAATGCAAAAATAAAATAAAAATAAAAATATATGCACCAGGAATATGCCCACCTCCTCTCCTACAAAGCATCCGCCCTGTTCCCCTGATCTTCGGCATGCCTCTAGGAAAGAATTTTACAAGGCTGTGATCTGCCCCTAAGCGTATCAGTGGGCAACAGTGTCCTTATTTAATCCTGACGATGAATCATACCTCACAGATGCTGCATGGCAAAGTGTTTGGGACAGATTTCCACTACTTCATCTAGCAACAAGCGTACTGAAATCAAAAAAAAAAAAAAAAAAAAAAAGAAAAGAGATGCAAAGGATTTCAAAATGTGGAGCCTGTTACAATAAAGAATGCAAGGCTAATTGCAGTAACATGCCACAGCAAATTTACCACAGAAAAGCTACATTCTCCCTTTTACAACCCTTAAATGAGGAATAAAGCATGCTTGAGCTTTTATGTGAAGACTGCACTCTCTGATCTAAGTCTTCTCTGAGGTTGCCCTGTCCCTGGGAAATGCCTCGTTCTTCACGGGCTGCCACTGAATGACCGCATTACTGAAGTTTATGGGCCGAGACTGTTCAGGAAGTGCCTGCTTTGTCTTTTCTCACAAAAGCTGCTGGAGACACAGGATTTATCAGTTCTGTTGCCACAGTAATGCTGTCGCAGGAGAGCACAGGGACCTGCAGTTCTTTTTTTTGCTCTCGCTGCTGTGTGCAAAGTGTCAGTGACAGGGTGAGGACAGCGTCCATCTGTGCTCCCTGCCACGATAAATCAGTGGAGGATAATGTAGCTGCCCGGCTGTACCGCGTCACTCTCTTAGACAGTGATGCTGCATGAAGGTGGACAGGAGCCTGCAGCCATTTCTTTGTTAAAGTCTTGATCCAAAATCAATGTGAATTAGCATTTCAGACAAAAAAAAAGAAAATGCAGACACTACATAAGCAAATAGTTTGTGGCAGGGGATGAAAAAACAGCTGAGAAAAGAGACCTACAGGGCCGGATTTAACAACACCAAGTGAAAAAGACCTCAAAGGGCAGTTTGAAGAAAGTGTTTCCACTTGTAACCAAGCCAACCATTGCAACTGTTGCTAGATCCTGTTACTTTAAAGTCTGAATACAAGCATTTGAGCTGCTTCAGACATAATAATGCAGTTCTTACCCCCCAGGACAGACACAGTCATGAACAGCTTGGCTTCGGGCCCAAATCAGACAGCAGTGAATGAGCCGCATAAACAAGGCCACAATTGAAATGACACAATAGAGGAGGATTACACAACTTGCGGTCACCAAGCCAGTTGATAATATCATTACAGGAGCCATGGAGAACCAAACGGGTCTTGGTACACACTGTATTGTGTCAGCCGTGATCTCAGTCTGCACCGTTCCACAATAAAAAAAAAAAAAATCACTAAATGGGAACATCTATTCAGGACCAGATGCTTTATTGTAGCAGCTTGTTTGTTAAATCACATGACATGGATGAGAAAATGTGTAACGTCATGTACTGTGGTACAATATTTACAGAGTCTGACACATGTTTGACACCTGATGAAACACTCCATTGTTTATCCGTTCCTGATTAAAATGCCATTTACCAGGAGATACAAAATGGGGAAACTCTCACTGCTGATTAGTGTGTTATTTAAAATACCTTGCTGGCACCGGCAGGTAATAAGTGTGCACCCGAAACAGAGGGAAGAGTGCTGGAATAGTGCAGATCTTTGCACTCATGGCAAATCCACCATCAAGGTAACTTTCAGTGAAAACAGGCAAGTCACTCCAAAGAAATAAAGAAAATCTGTCAATACAGAAAAGAAGAGGCTACCAAACATCAATATAACCTGAGGATACAAATAGAGGTACTTTTAAAAATATATCTTACCAGTTGTTGGTGTGTGTGAGCCCTTCAAATACACTGTAGTAGCTTTAACTTATGCAATCTAACAGAAACTTCTCTGTCCAAGTTGGAATTGAGCTTTCAAGTGAACCACACTGTGAATAAAACTGCGGTTACCAAGTTACAGAGAACAATACGGAGTTAAACCTTCCTGCAAGAACCTCCACACCGAACACACAAACATTTCTGAAATAAGTTTGCAACAATGCATAGAAGCTGAATTTTTGTCCGAGGCCTGCGTGTGGTTTTGTTAAGTAATACAATAAAATGTGGGCAGATGAAGTGAAACAACAACAAAAAGTCATTTATGGATTCAATTTTCTTTCACTCTCATGTTTGGTTTATTGTATTTTGTGTTATTTTTGTTGTTGTAGTTAAACAGTCATATTCTAGTCTGGCCTTCCCCCCCCCTCAAAACAGCTCTTTCTCCCTGAGCAGAACACTTTCAGGATAAAAAGAAAAAAAACATGTTTTCGGTGACCACAAGATCAAAAATGTCAGGGTTAAGCTGTGAACACATTTGCAGCAAGTCATACAGATCTGGCACTTTCGGGGTTGAAATTATCTGTCAGATTGCGGTGCCAGCGCTGTTTATCTCCTGTACACGCATTGCTTTGTTTGATGTGACAAAAGTAAAGTAGACTGGAGGTAATTTCCTGAAGGGATCGTGCACCTGGGCCCTACAGTACTCTGGTCAACCCTGCTTAACAGGAAATCTAAGAAGCTTAGAAACACTAATGCCCAAATGGCCCCAGGTAGCTACAGTGGCAACAAAGAAGCCTTTAAAAATGCTGTCTGGGAACTGGCCAGAAGTGTGAAAGAAATCTAAATGACTGCAAATCAGCATCATGTAACAGAATTATTTGAGAGGCACGACACAAATCGGATTTTAAATGATTCATAAGGGCCAGTGACAATTACATAATTTAAAAAAAAGAAAACATTTGATTTAAAATGGCTTCAAAAAAAAAAGAAAACATTTGATTTAAAATGGCTTCAAATCATCAGCTGTGAGAAGAAAAAAAAAACCACATTTGACAGTACAAATATTTTGTAAATATTAAATACTGTACATCACTGATAAATCCCTACAAAGGATATAACCCTCTTATTAGAGGATAAATAAACGATCCAGTTTGGTTTCAGCTGCAGGCGCATATGAAGCCCTGTTGTTGACAGTTTATTGTTCTCCAAGCACAAAGGAACGGTTTCGCGTCCCTTTTACGCAAACCCTTCTGCCAATCCACAGGCGCCCCGCTGAAAACAAAAAAACATGTGCAAAGGACGAGAATATTAAGGTATTCAACTGTAACTTCAAAAAAAGAGAAAAAAGCATTGAATAGGCAATCAACTCGTGAAGCAACGTTTCTGTGAACCAAAATCTGCTGGATGAAACGCAGGCTGCAGCTAAGTTTTAAAACCTTACTTATGTTGGATAAGTGAATGCCTTCAATGCAATTCACTCATTCCTCTTAATATTCTGAAATAAGTAACATTTGAAGGTACTGACATCTGTTTTAATGATTCCCAACATGTCTCTGGAGAGGATTTTCTCTCCTCATTTGCAAACGTTCACATCACAAGGCTCGACTTTAAGATGCCATTGCACGCGTTTCACGAGTCCATCAGTCCAAGTTTTCAAAAATGAAAAAAAAAAAACAACCAAACATCAGGTGTCAGCAGCCTTTAAGGTGCGGAAGTGCGGAAAGTTTGTCGACTTTTCCCAAAGCGGCGGCGTTTTCGACCCCCTTCAGCCACTCTTTGCATTTCCTTACAACAGTCTCGTCCACGTCTCCGTCCTCTTCTTCGTACTCCACGTCGTCGTACTTGTATTGGTCATTTAGCAGAGATATTTTAACGATGGCGGTGATGTCCTGCTCTGCGTTCTCTCCTTTACCGTTAGGAGCGCAGCCCTTGGAGCCTCCGTGCGCCTTTTTGGATGGAAAAACTCGCCTGTGCCTGAAGTCGGCGGAAGCGCAGCATTTCTGCTGCTTTGCCATCATCTGCTTTTCTAGATTCCGTTTTTGGATGACAAGAATGGCTTCAGGGGTGAGACTGAGGGTGAACTGAATCTCCTTCTTCCCTTCCTCTTTCCCGTGGAGATGTCTGGAGGAGTCCATGGAGCTGGAGCGCCGGACTCCTTCGGATGAATCCTGAGGTTTGGGCACCGACAACCAGGAGCATTTTCCCTGCGTCTCTTGCCCGGAAACGGTCTTCTGAGATGGGCTTTTATTCTTCTCTTGCTGGGCTTTTCGTCCCAAATTCCTTAAATTCGCAGACGCCCAAGAAGTGGACTGTTTGTCCCTATCGGGCCCCCCTTTCTCTCCGGCAGATTTGCTGGTTTTCTCACTCTGAGGAGGCACTCCGTTGGCTTTCTTTTTTCCAAACAGTTCCCTGCCAGGCGAGGAGATCCGCTGGTGGAGGCTGATGGGTGGAAAAGGCATCTTTGTGGCTGGAAGTGATCAGGATATAAAAACGTGCAAGTGCAGAAGAGGAAGCCCTGCGCAAGGCGACGAGCGGCGCTCTGCGGGCATTATCCAAGCAGGCGACGTGGAGAGAGGAGGGGATGTGGTGCACCTGTTGTCCGCACCGAGTTCAACTGGTGCGCAGACACACAGCCTGGCTGCTTTATGATCGGGCTGGCAGGAAGGCGTGGCCAGGACACGCACCAAACAAAGCCATGAAAAAATTGGTGATGTCATTTCATAATTTCCAAGAACTTCCTTAAGCGATGATCCACATCCACCTCATGTTCCTCTCACCTCCTCTCACAGCGCCGCTCTGCTGTTCTCCCACTTTTAAAAATCAACAACTATTCAATAGATAATCAGCCTCAAAAATATGAATCATCTTCTGTAGGACATATAATTCAACCCATGTGGCCAAGGTTACCTGTTTCTTTTAAATGTGATTTACACTTTTTAATTTAAAAGAAGCTGTCACTTTAAAAGCAAACCAAATATTGGACATAAAGTCCATAAAAGTAAACATCTTAAAACAGTCCTAATCTCAGCCTACAGTACACCTTTTCAAACAGGTAAATCAAAATTTAGACATGTGGTAAATTTGCAAATTTGCAAAAACAGATCAATTTTTGTAGATTTTGAGAAAACTTATTTTTTGTTGTTTGCTTGAGATAATATCAGTCAAACTGAAGCTGAGTGGATTTGACTCAGTAGAAATGACATGACAAAAAAAGACAACTTAAGTTTAATTGACATTGTCTCAGGTAGACGATGGAAGAGTGGGTTTTTGAAGGTTTGTGAAGATGGCGTTAGCTGTTTTTGTAAATGAACTCTTCATATGTTCCTTTCTAATTTATCATTGAATAGGATCATTAAAACTCAATATGCTGTTTTTATATGCTGTGAAATACTTGTTCCCACAGCCTATAAACATGTCTGGACTATTTTTTCCATCTGTAACTCACGTTCTTCAGTTAAAGCAGTCTCATACACCTAACTGTGCCTCCCTGTAGTCGACACTCATGGTCATAAATTCTGTTTAGTCCTGCAGACACCTTCTATAACCCCGTCTGTCCTTGAGCTAAACTAAAATACGTCAGTAGCACAACGACAGATTTTATCCTGTCAGTCAATATAGTCTCAAATGTCAATTATCTGACATGTATAGGTGGGTAGTTTTGTTCTTCCAGCGGTGTAGCCTATGAAAGATATCTGGGTGAATACACAAATAGTCTGCAATATTGATTTTTCTTTGTTTCTGCTGTTATCTGCACTTTCAGCCAGACAGATCCACAATTAACTTGATGCGATTTTTCCACTAGTACAAGAGGAAATCAATACATCTTTTCAAACCTGTAGTTTTTAAGTCTATTCGATATTGTCTGCAAATTGAACCGTTTGTGAAACATTTTGCCTTTTGAGTTATTTAGATCATTTAATTAGTCTTTTTTTTTTAAGGTTTTGTTTTTTTTTTTTTGAGTTATTTAGATCATTTAATTAGTCTTTTTTTTTTAAGGTTTTGTTTTTTTTTTTTTTCCATTTTCATGTTAACAAATCAAAAATCAATTTTGGCCAAACAGTCCCCTGACTCGTTTACTCTTGGAATCAATAAATGGCGTGAAATTACCCCTGACAACACAGGCCAAGTTATCCATTTTTGCAAGATGATCTGGATCATTAAGCTGAAGAGGATGCAAAGACTTGTTTAATTCCAGAGGTTGTTGTGGCGTGGGATCCCTCTCTTCTCTGACATAACAACGGATTAGAAGTAATGAAGAGGAAGCAGTTGGGACACCAACAGATTGCTGAGGTCAGGGTGCTTCCCCTTCATCTTCAAACTTTAGCGTAATCCAAAAATGGCGGGCAAAGAAAGTGAATAACAAAAACAATCGCATTCCTGTCATTGAAAAGAATTATTTTAGCCCTGAGATTACTCGGAGAGGGATTTACAGGGCCTGTGTGAAGTTAGCTGAACAAGTAGTCCTGAAGAGAGATTTTGTCCATGCTAATCCACCAGCACATTATACAAGCATCTAATAAGTTGGTGGGCGCCGCATAACAAGAGAAGAAATGCAGTTATTTAAATCACATTAAGCACAAGCAAAACCTTGAGGCATGGCCTTAAGCAAATTGTATAGCTAATGCACAAACCCCACATTGTATATATTTGTATTTTATTTTTTTCCAGTGTAAATCAAAATACGATGAGATATTAAAGACTGACTGTTGGTCCAAGGGAGAATTTCTGTAAAATGAAACACACCTTCTCGTCACGATAATGTGAACATCTGCACCACAGATGGGGGTAGGCAGAGGTTATGAATCTTCTGGAGGAGGTTGTCATGACAACCACATCCTCAAAGGCTACGGCATCATGCTGAAGCGATATAGGGAAAACGATGCAAGCTATACTGGGTTATTAGGTCACGTTAGAATCACAATGCTCAGAAAAGCGTAATTAAATGGGTCATTGCTACATCTGGCAGTAAATCTAATTTTAAAAAGAGAAGCATTTTTTAATGTAATCTGATGAGCGGAGGGGGAGGCAGGTGTGTTCAAATGCAAACTGAAGACAGACAGACCAGACAGGAGCTGCTGCTTTTTTTTCCTTTTAATGTCTTTAGCTGAAAACACCTCAAAGAGCTGTGGGTAGCATACATCCCAGTGCATCATCAGCGAAGCAGTGAGTCAACTGCCAAAGGGAAAACGATCACATTTGAAGATGGAATAGCATCTGAGAGCCTATTTATATATTAGTGCCTCATACACAGACACAAAGCAGAGAGACAATCTTTTACTAATGTTTGCGTGTAAGAAGCCAGAAAACCTTTGATAAAAATCTAGAGAAAAATGAAATCATATGCTGCTTAAGTTGCAAAAGAGTGTGTTTGGTCTATATATCAGGAGTTCTCTTCATATATACAATTATGTTAAGGCATTTTTGTTGTAAATAACTTTCTTTAGAAAAGTCAAAATCATTTCCCTGCACTTAAACAGTATAAAATCTGCAGTAAATATAAGAAAATCTTTAAATATATTAAGTATTAAAGGCACCCATTACTCTAACAAAAGAAAATGAATGAGAAGTGTTATATTCAGATTATAGTTACCGCCCTTTATCTAGATTTAAAAGGCAAACATTTTTAGATATCAAACAGCCATAGTAAAAAGTGGAAATATAGTGTATAAACAATATAAATGTATATTTTACAAAGTCACTGTGCTCGCAGTTTGCATATTAGGACCAGTCTTCTTAGAAAATTCTGGACTCCTGAGTCCTAACTCAGACAGGTCGTGAAGCATTTCATCACAGCGTCCCTGTTGAAGAAAAAAATAAAAATCTCAGTAAATGGCAGCAATATAAACAACAAAAGAAAAAAAAAGAGAGATTGAAGAAGAAGAAATAATGAAATGTTGCTTGAGTGCAGTTCTAAAATGGTCCAGGATTAAATAAATACACTGGAGACAAAATCCCACCATGCGTATGAAATTAAAAGCGACAAAAAGAGCACTTCCGTCCTTTGTTGCGATGATTTGGGTGGGGCTCGTCATGAATAAGTGAGTGTGTTTTGGCGGGGAAGCACCACATGTTCAGGGTGACGGGGGCTCCCTTTCTCCAGGTACGTTGTGTTGAAGGATGATGCAAGAGGAGCGGTCGCCATGGAAACCGCAGATGGCTGCCTACTCTATTTCCCTTCACACAGTTTGCTCTTGCCGTCGGTACGTTGCTATGCAGACTTCGCCAGCAGCCACAGTCAAAATTCGATGGAGGAGGTGTAAAAACCCGTCAAGGTTAAAAGGAGAAGGGGGGATCATAAGCAGTCTGAGGGGGAGGAGGGGAGGTCGGTGGACAGGCAGGAGACTCGCTCCTTCAAATGCTCTGGCTTGTCTCCCCGGTGTATAAACAAAATGAAAAAAAACAACACCAGAATCCTCATATTCTTCCTCTTGTGCAGCCTGAGGTCTGTTTTTTTTTTTTTTTTAAATTTATATTCATTGAGGTTTGATGCTATTTTTGCTTCCCTGAAAACTGCGTGAATAAATGAGCAGTCTCAGAGGCTTTCCCCTATTTCTGATTAAACATCAGAGCAACAGTAGCCCTAAAGCGCTGTGGGAAGTGCACATGCAGCAGGTTTTAGTACCTTAATTTGCTGGCGTGAGAGGTTATAAATAGGCAACTAGGTAAAATACATTAAAGGATCAAGTCCATTTGCCATGTGGTGTTGTGACTAGTCAGGTATCAAACTTATTTTAGATCACGGACACAGATGGGAAGGACGACAGTCTAATGCTTTTTAATGTGTCACCTAAAAAGGTACACAGGCCTGAGATTAAAAATATACACCAGCTTTGGAACAACATTGTAAACAATAAAGTGCCAAGTGGTCAAATCTAAATTAAATGAAAACTGGATTAAAGTAAGAGGCTTAAAGAGACAGGATAGCAATGTGGTGACAAATCATTTAAGAAATACAATAACAATGGAGTAACGAGTAAATAACCGATAGTCAAAAATTAGCTGTCAGATGTGCTTTTCTCCACAGGAATTTGGTTTTTGGGAGGGTGACACGTTCAAAGGTCTTTGTCTCAGCTTTGTATTGTTGTTAGCATTTGGGCTGGGGGAGGGGGAGCTCGGGGTGGACGTCTCTCAGCTGTCAGGATGGATTATAGGGTCGCCCAAACACACAAGACACTTAGTGGGGGGGCTGCACGGGGTCTCTGGACTTCTCGCCAAATAAGATCTAACCCCACTTACAGCTGGACTGACAAAACAACATCACACTTCATGCTTGACTCAAGGAAAGCCCTGAGGTGGGACAATTTGTGAAGTGAACACTTGAGCGTACCGGAGTATTATCTTTAGGACTGCATACTGTGGTGAGATCATTCAAAACAAACAGCTTGAAAACTGTAACATTTATGTCTTTATGCTGTGTATGATCAACATAAAAGACACAGCAAGTAGCCTGTGAGAAAGACTGTTATGCTGCTATAAAGTTTTTATTTTCATTATTTATGCAACTTGAGACAGCTTGTCCAGATTTAATTAAAAATTTGCATTGTGCTTTAACCCTACAGAGCTTAACATAAGCTCATTACATGCAGTGTAAAAGCTAAATTGGAGAAGAAATGTTTTAGTAAATCTGGCTAAAAGAGCATTATTTCACAAGCAATCATTTCATTTTGATATTATGGACTAAGCGATGATGTCACAGGGCTAAAGCACAGCAGAGTGTGAAACAACAAGCTGCCATTTGTTTGACACGAAGAGCCTACAATAGTCATAGTGGGGGATTACAGCCATATGGTGGAGGCAAGCAGTGGCAAGAGGCAAATAAAAACATGTTTTCATCGTATTCTCGCCAGTTTGTTTTGTACGGTACAGTGTCATTTGTAGATGAGACACTGCTGAGATACAAAAAGGAAGCTAAAAATGTTTTGAAGGTCTTTTTTGATCGTGTCTCGTTTCACGAAAATGACTCAAGTGAAAGATCACAGTCAGTAAGCAACACATTCTGCTGAGTATAACATGGAGGACACAGGCAGATCACCATGAGGTTACATCAGACATAACATAAATGGTAAAATCCTGTTTTCTTACCTGGCAAATGGAATGTAAGAGATGCTATACCTGAGGAGAAAAACACAAAGAAAGGATGAGGGACAATTACTGACTATGTTAAAGACTGAAGAAGACACTAATTGTCAAAATGAGGCAACATGTTCATTTCCTGCTCAAAAGATGCATTTATAATACATTTACTTTAACATGTGTTTAATGTTATGGAAACCATTGTATTGAATAGCTATGTAATGAATGTGATATCTCTGTTAGGTCCTCTTAAATGGGGTTAAAGTTGAAATTTAATTTTCATAGTTTGGGCCACCTCAGTAAACTACAAACAACCAACTTGCCATTTTTAAAGACAGTACTGTCCACACATTTTCCTGTACTTTAACACGACTTATCTGGCTGGCTCTCACTTCAAATCCCAGGATCTTTACTTGAAAGTTTAGGTTTGTTTTGATAATGCTTGTCTCCACATCATAGGATTGTAAATATGTTGATTTTTAAGAGATTAAAGATTAAAAGCACATAAACCACCACGGAAAACACAGACCTACGAAAGATTTAGGGCTTAACCAAAGCATAATAATGGCTATTTGATAAAAAACACACCAAAATTGAAAATAGCTTTAAATACTCCATCAAATAAGAGTCACTGGACTGACGGGTCTTTGATGTTGCTCGGCGGGGATTAAGAAAACATGATTGTGAATGAATTGGATACACTGTAAGCTTTGCACTAATGAGTCTGGACAGATTGGTAGACCAAATACCGAGTGCGACAAAAACATGATACCCTGTTCTGGAAATGATTACAGCTAAACTTCAGCTTGACGAATCCCCCATGAGACAACCAAATACATTTTAAATATGTGAGGAATCTGGTACAGCAGTTGAATGATTAACTGGAGCCAAAGCCGAAACACAACGGCAAGAAATCCTCATTTATCTTGTTAAGCAAAGCTTTAACACTTGTTAGAAATATTGTAGCAATTTTTCAAGAGAATAATCTGAATATCTAATCAAGTAGGGTAAGAAACAGCTATCAATGCTGTTTTGTCGTTAAAATTCCTTCCGTCTGTCCAGTTCATTCCTGTTAGTCAGTAATGGTTCAATGTGATGTGGTCACTTTTCAGAATTCCCCCTGAGGACCGGACTTTGCCCACCTCCGTGTGGGTCAGTGGCGACGTCGTTTTACAGAACTACCTCCGCGCAGACGTCTGAGCACTTGCGTGGGATTGCACTATGCCCCCAGTCTGTTAAGAATGAGCTTGGGATGTGTGACTTGTGGTTGCCATGGGGATGCCTTTGAGAACGCAGGCAGAGCGGAAATGAATGTACTATATGTAGGTGCAAAAGAAGCAGTGCAGTTACAAGGCTGACACAGTGCTGCTCAGTGGTGCACTGAAACTGTCTGTTCCCTTCCTCCTGGGTTGCTGTGGGGTTTAAGTTTCCACATACAGTCACGGACTGAAACTCTTTTGTTAGTGCTGTGCAAATATGTTCAAATTAATGAAGTGCTGACATGCCAATACACATTACTCACAGGTCTTATTATTCAGTGCTGTGGTGAAGCTTAACCCCAGTGACCTTGTAGCTGTCCAAGCGTGAGGGGCTCAGCCTCAACATTACATTTGTGCTTCTCTCAGTTAGCTAGCTGCCTTGTTATCTGCAGCAGTCAGAAAGCCAGATCTAAGACTCAATTTGAAACCATTATGAACACTAGGGCTACAGCTAACAGTTATTTGTATTACCAGTTACAAGAAAATAAATAAATACTGATTAGAAATTCCCAGAGAAAGAGGTGATGCTCAAGCTACTCCACTTACATTCTTATAAGACCAAAAAAGCTTCAAATCCCTACCTCTCCAACTAAAGCAATTAATTAATTTGCAAAATGCTGACAATTTTCTCTAAATCACTAAACTCAAAAGGTTGCACCTTAAAGAAGTACAGTTATTAGGGAAAAACTGTGTTTTTGTTTCAACTGAACAGAGCTGATGAAAGCTTTCAAACTAGGCACAAACAAAAACAACAGATACAAAAATTATTTCAGGACAAAGATGCTTCATACATTTCTGTACAATAAGTGAAGGTCTTTACTTGACATACTTCTAAAAAAAAACCTACCAAACTAAGTAAGGCCATAAGGGCATCGTGTACCGTCATTGGACCGTTTCCCCCAGAGGTACCTGGCAGTGACGTCATCTCGTGTGTAAGCAATGCAGGTATAAATACCTGTCTGTCTCCACTTGCCAAAACTACACATGCGGGTTTTAGCAAGCTCCACACCGATTCTGGCACTACCTCTTCTTTTAGAGGCCAAAAATATACTGACCTACCATGACAACTGGCAACCTGCCTGAAATCCTACTTCAACACAACTGACTTGACCTGTATTTTAAACAGATGTAACTGTCTGCCCCCGCAAACTAGGGCAAACCTATTGAATCGTTATTCCAGCATCTTATCATTATGTGGCACTTCCACCGTATGCCATTTTCTGTTTTTAATCTGATTTCTTTTTTAAAAAAAGAAAAAGTTGTAAACATAAAGTGGTTTAAAACTATTTTACTAAATAAGGTACAGTGCTGTTCAAAATGCAACATGACATAGATCGTGCAATCTTTTGTAGTTTCAGCCAAGCATGTGCCTACACGAGTAAACTAAGCTCAGATCATCAGCGGCGCAATTAACTCAACTTACAAGCAACATAAATCAGCTGGAGCAAAGTTCTCTTTTGTGGAAAGATGGCTTCGTCTGAGTAGGTGTGAAGGATGAGTTAATTGCCAACTGTGCTAGAGCTGAGAAATAGCTTAGAGTGGCAGGCCTCACTTACCATGTCATTGCCAAAAACTGCAGAATACAGAAGATGAGAGCCAATAACTTTTTATGCCACTGTAAAAAGAAGCATACAGCAGTTATTGTAACAGTTAAAAACAATGCTCTAAGACAATAAAGGCTTGAATTGCTTTCGAATCGGTTAGCATCATACTTACCCAAAACACTGCGCACAGTGTTAAGACAAGGCAGAGCTGGTGGCAGAAGAAAAGGAACCGTTACTTCCTGCATGCTTGCAGAATGACATTTGCTATCAGTGTATTAACTTCTTTCAGTATTTGACAGGAAATGTAAGTTTCTAACCAACTAAGTCACTAAATCTATCAACAAAACACATGAACATTGTCAAGATGGAATGTGTGGTCAGTCTAAGTTACTTTATTATCATTTCTTTAAGGCTACAAGGTAAGAAGAACTGCTCTTTGGCCTTCTAATCCAAAATCATTAACCTCCAACAACTACTGTAAGAAAACATGGAAAAAAAACCCCTCAATTATCCAGTCAAGCATGGGGCTCAAATTAATAGCAGAACACATATTTACCAGCATAACAATGGTGGCTATCAGCCTTGTTGGTTCAAACATGCGCTTCAGCTGTTTTAGTGGTCCCATTAGGAAGCAGGTGCTTTATAAGGAAAAAAAAACAAAAACACAAGTTAAGTTGTAACACACTTCAGTTAAAGATCTGTGTTTATATGTTAATCCAGGAAATTTGCATTGTCATGTTTTGTCTTTGTAGCAGGTAAGTAAATTTTTGTTCATTCCAGTTATCATCTATTAAACAGTGAAATCAAGACTATATGAATATAAGGGATTATTTTTCAGTTTCTGTAGGTGCAACTCTTTTTTTTGGTCTGTTCAGCATGCTGCCTATTGCTAATTCTAAGGATTGTTGTCTAATTAACAACACAAATATCATCACATTAGTCAACTTTGTAAGACTTGTTAGACCTCTATATGTATTCAGTATTTTAGGTCAAAAATACAATTCTGTCAGAATTTTTACATCAAAAAATAAACTTTATGGTCCAGGTCAGGAGAATTTTAGAACAGTCTTCATATGATTACACACAGACACACACATATACGTAACACCATAATTGTGGGGTCAACATAATCAAATTTACACTACATGTTGCCATTATTAGGGGTTAAATATTTCATGCCCAACACCATGATGACACATTTAGAACCTCCTACATGATACGAGTGCTACGTCAGTAAATTTAACAAGACAAAGGCTTTCCCCAGTGACGAAGCACGCAGCTCTGGGCTGAGCAGAGCTGAGTGGGTAGAGGGAATCTGTGAAGCGTCACATCTGTTAGATGAGACATGAGAGTAGTGTGTGCGTGACGCAGGCTCTTTCTACTGGTCTGCTAAAAGAGATGGATGCTTTTTTCTTTTTTTCAATTGCTCAGTGTGACAGAGACAGAAATGACATCCACGCACATGCTGCTTCTGCTGATTGAGGAAAAATAAAGATCTGTCATCTACAAAGCATATAACTGAACATAAATCTGATACTGTGGTATTGGCCAATGTTTTCATGTGAAAATTAAAGAAATATATTTGTTTAAAAAAATCTGATGCTGTAATTTAAACAGACTTCCTGTGGAACATACATTACATTACGTTGCAGGTATTTTGACTGGCAGTTTATCTTTAAGATTTTAGTTTGTGGTTAAAAAACAAAAACAAAAACTAAGAAACCAGTCTATGGTGGTACAACTATGTATCAAAGTCATCCAACTGAAAAGACTTGAAAAACAACATGTTTTTTTTGTCACCATACAGTATAGCGGTGCGACATGACACACTGGAGCCTATTTTTAACCTTTTTTAACCTTCAACAACTGTGGCTGAAATTATGAAACCAATGGTTTCCATGTACATCTTATTGTCATTTCATACAGATCTAAAGTAGTTTAAGCCCCTTAAAATACGATACTCTCTTGCACTGATCGTTAACCTGGGCTCTGTAGAAGGTGACCCAGTTCCTTGACGCATCTAAACCTTCTAGACATATGATACCTGAAAATAGAGACTGCTTTGTCTGAAAGCAAACCCCTCATCAGTGGTTCACCGTCCATCAAAGAAGTCAAAGACATCATTATTAGATTTAGACCTTGGATTATCCATCATAAATAATCCATAATGTTGTAAAATCCTGCAGGCTAATTGATATGTTGTGAAGATTCAAGTCTAATCTTACTTAAGCATTACATTAAGATAGATTGACTTGTAGGTATGTAACCAGTCACTGTCAAGAAATTTGTTTTGTATACTCTTATACAGGAGAGACCTCATTTTCTTGATATGCTCTTATGGAAAACCTAATCTATTTCAAAAGCAGTCTGGGAGCAAACCCTGGAGAAATATGTAGTGTACCACGGCAAAGGGATTTCTGTGTGGATGAGCATACTGCTCACCATGTGCTGTTGTTCTGGCAGTGCGTCATGTTGATAAGAACAATTTGGTATCAACACCTTCCAAACCAGTACCTGTTTAAGTGACGTGGACTTAAAAGTCTTACCTGGAAAGGGCTGCGATATTTCCTAGTGTGTAGAAGACAGCAAAAAGCTTGATGCCATTTGGAAGGAACAGCAGTGCTGTGCCCTGACAAAACAGCAAAATAATCTTGGTCAAATACACAGAATAATGTCCCCATTACTTCAATTAAGGGGAAAAGACACAAGGAAATAGTCATACCAAGCAGCTGAATGAATCCTGGAATTGATATGGATTGAAGGCTTAGATTTTTTGCTATTTTTCTCTGAGAAACGACAAGGGATTCAGCGGGCTGTTTTATGGTTTTATTGAAACACACTTGGCTCCCCCTAGTGCTAAAATTCCATAAGGCTTTGTCGACTACATAGCTTCAGTATTTGGATCACTTTCTGCCTGGTGCCACACTGTTTGAGTTTGTATTTCACTGTAGAAAATATGAAATTAGAAAACACTTAGCTCATATTTTCCCTAATAATACTTAAATAAAAAATTAAGCTTTATTTATAACATATTAAAAGTTCTGAATACAGCGTTTAACAAAATGGAGCAAACAGTTTACTTAAATGTACAGGTTCGCAAGGACATTCACGAGAATGTGCAGCTAATAACTGCATATCACATTACATAAAAGGAATTTTCTGTGACATTATTTTTCTGCTACCAGAGATTGCGTAGTTTCGTAAATGCGTGTGGAGGTTTGTTGTGGCGCACTCGGTAACGGTGGGCACTGCAGGGCATCCAAAAAGAAGGCAAATGTATGAATTAAAAATACATTAACATATTCAGAGATCAAGGGATTATGTTTTATCTAGAAGATGTGTAAAGACTGTGAATTTCATCACCCAGGCCTACAAACAGAAGTTGTGTTCTGGGGTGGGTGTGAATTATCACAGTGGCTTTGAAGTGTGGTTAAAAAAAAAAAAAGGGTGTGCACCTGTGACAAGACATCCTCTCATCTTAAATGTAAGACTACAAACTGAAACTTGGAGTGACATCAAGCAACTGTTGTGTGTTAATTAAGTATAAGAAACAGGATTCAATCACTTTAATCTGCAAGTGTGAGAGAAGAGGAATTTGTTTTGATGGTAATGGGGTTGAGCTGTGTTGACCACTTAAATTAGAATAAATGCAAACCAAACACAGAGCAAAACAAAAACTATCACTGCTAGCAGCATTAATAGTGTTCCCTTTGTCCACATAAAATCAAGACAGAACATAAAAACTGCCTGTTCAATTCAGGCACGCAAAGAGGCACTCACAAGTATTGAGCACAGGATGCCTGAAGCAAAGCATATGACGAACCATTTCACCCTGGTGCTGTAGCTGAGAGTGCTGGCATCAAGGACCTGATAAGAACAAAAGCAGGATGTCACAAGACAAACTTTAATGGCCTGCACAGAGACCCACGGGCCTCCTACTGATGATTTAACCATGCTACTGAGAGCCAAACAGATAACATCGTAGTTTTATCTTCATACACAGACACAGACAGCACTGGCATACTTTGGAAATAATTATTAGAACGCTGTGACCACAGTTTTCTGCCTCTTCCTTTGCGGTTCTTGGTGGACGCATACCGCGTTTTCTCATGAACAGCTGTTTTGCTGATTCAATGTTGGTTAGCAATGGCTCTCCAACTGCATCGCTCTTCGTTCAGCACCAAGATGGCTGTCGACTTGTCATCTCGTAGTTCACTTCTTTTAGTTTTTTTCAATTTTGAGGGATAATATATTTTGATTTATTTTGTGCATAAGCTATATATGTAAGGTCCACAGACAGCAAAATACACTGGTGGCTCAAAAATGTTTTTGGTCTCTAGTGTTCATTTTTATTAAATTTTCACAGATTCAATACATGTTTGTTTTTGTTTTAATGCAAAACAATTTCTTGCATGTGTTGAATTACTACAGGACTTATTCATGTCTGTCAGAAGATGCTACAATTATTTACACACGATGCTAAACTTTCAACTAAATGATCAAAGTTGAAGCTGTTTTGTAGACTTTGCGCAGAAAACAACAGGTGGTCTTGGCAATTATTTCCCAAACTGTATGTTTAAAGCACACAACACATAACTCAGAAAACTGAACTGAGAATAATAAAGCAATAAAACTAAATTGTCGACAAAGACATGTAGAACAGCAAGCAAAGGAGACTGTCTCTGTCAGGGCCAGAGTGAAACTTTAACATCATACAACATGCAAACACCAATATACTGACGCTGAATCAGCAGCTTACCTTATGTCCTTCTTATCGTGAAGGCGTGTAAAAAGCATGAATAAACACATTTTAGTAGTGTTAAACGTTAACAAGTGACAGCTGTCGTTAAAAGTTGGTTACAAGACGTACGCACACACAAACTGCCGAAAATACTGTTAGCTAACGTTAGCCGTCAAACGTCTAAACATTAGCCCCACAGCTAGCATCAAATGTCATCTTTAGTAACAGCTGCTAACCGCTAACCCAAAGAAGAACACTGTTAGCATGTATCTGAACAGTAGTAGAGAAGAAACACAGCTAGGTATGGGCCGTTTTGTTTAGGTTATTAAACTACACACACTGACAGAGGGTTAGCATTAGCAGCTGTCACACAGTAGCTCGGTTACCTGTGCAGTGAGACCCAACTCTTCGTTCTCGTCTCGGCCGCTGAGCACACGACGAAGCTTGTCCATCGCTGCAGGCTAGCTAGCTAACTACTAAAGGTAAAAGTATACGTCTGGATTTCTATGTTTGCAGCCGTACGGGTTACCGTCAACAAATTCTGATGGCAGTAGTTGGAAGTTTCACTTCCTGGCTCCAAGGACGGTTCCTGTTTTCTCTCAATGCTGACCTGGAGTCGGTTTGATCGTTCAGTTGTCCGAGGGCGGTCTCTGAATCACAGACCGAGGATCAGGCCGTGAAGGCAGCTTCTCCAACAACACTTCCTCAGATCTGTTAATGTTGCATTTACTGCTGTCGGACATAATTGAGTTACGAAATTATCTGCGTACGAACCACACACAGAATAGTGCGCAACATTTTGTCGGAAATTTCGCAACTTTTCCGGACTGTATGGATAATGTAACGGACTTTCTAATGTAAATTGCTGTTAAATATCCAGTTTAATTAGTGTAAGCTGGTTAATACAACGTAAGAAATGTATACTTCTGTTTTAGATTTTTAAAAATTGCCCTTTTAAAACATTAAACAAGCAAATACGTATCATTTGTACTGTTGCTGTAAAATTCCTTTAAATGTGTTTCACATATTGTTGTATGACTCTTATTTTCAAATACAGTCTGAGTGTGACCACTGTTGATCTGCCCCTGATGCTTTTCTGTAGCGTTGTCGCCACCTAGTGGAGATATTATAACAAGGAAATCAATCGATCAGACTGGTACAGCACTTTTCATAGAGATGGAATGTTACACAAAATGCTTTGCAGAACAATAATAGCAACAAACCCAAATAAATAATGTGTTATTAATGTATACATAAAGGACTAAAAAAATTATATTAAATATTTAGGAAATGAGGAAACACTATGATAAAAAAAAAATTATGGAATGATACAGAAAGAAAACTGTCAAGTCATAAAACATACATAGAATAAATTAAATTACAAAAAATTGAAATTCATTCAGCTGAGAAATGTAAGTTCCTGTGCTGCCTTAAAATGTGAGTTTACTGCACCTTGGTTGATTAATTAGTTCAAAGTTGCCCTTTGAGTTCTAAAAGTGTAAAATAAACTGAGTTAAATTAAGTGAAGCTGCAAAATCAAGTTCAATAAACTTAACTTGATGTGATATTAAGTTGACTCAACTGGTCCCATAGGCAATGGCAAACTTATTTTTCTGTTTACATTTCCCAAGTTTTAGGAGTTTCTTCTTTATATTACATTGAGAACTGACAGTCTCTGCTATTGAAACCATTTTTGAGCAGAGTCAGTACAAAGACAATCTGGGGGTCTGCTTCTGTTTATAGTTGGCTAAGTTATAGTACTGATGGTGTAGGGACTGAATTCAGCTACTTAGTTATGGTTAGAACTGTTTAGATTTTTATGAAGAAACAACCATAACAACCCAATTTTGTTGTACTTTTTGTTTAGTATAATGACATTAAAGGATTCTGATTCTGATAACTTAATGTAACAGACACAGCGAGCTTTAACCATGCCCATTTCTTCAAACTACTGAAGAGTCTCTGGGGAGTTTCAGCTCTCTAATGATGGATCAGGGAATGTCTACTTATATGTTCTAAAAAACTGGGGGTGCTGGAGCCTATAGCAGTCGACCTAGGGTGAAGGCAGGGGACACCCTGGACAGTTCACCAGTCTATCACAGGGCTGCGCTTAGAGACAAACAAGCACACTCACATATGGACAATTTAGAATCACTTCAGCTTGTCTTTGGACTGTGGAAGAAGTCGGAGAACAGGCATGGCACAGGGAGAACATGCTAACTCTACACAGAAAGATCCTAGGCCTCCTAATTTAAAATATAATGGCAGTATCATTTTTTTTTACCTTGACATTGACTTTGAATTATCAAACAAAGTCAAATGTTACATAACAAACAGAAAGCCCCTACATGGTTGCATATCTGCACCAAATATCATAAATGTACCTTCCCCCCTTTTGAAGGTATACAGCATGGTTGAACATTTGACCTTTGACCTCTAGCGGAACAATTTTTGCATTGATTGGCCCCAAAATCTACTCATTCTGAGGAGAGGCCATTCGTAGCTCACCTGTGAAATATCAACTTGCTGTACCTCAGCACTAGAGACTGTTCACAGTCACACACGCGCAGACAGACACACAGATCGGACCAACTACTCAATACAACTACAATTATTATAAATACACAAAACCAATTAAAACTAAAAATACTAAAAAGAATGAAAAACATCAACATTGGCTGCTGTTCTCAGGTCTGAAACGCTGTTCCACAGACGTGGACCATCATAACAAAAGGATGCCTCGCTTTGTGCTTTTGGTTGGACTTTGGGTAGAATTAAAAAGCCACTACCAGAAGACTTGGGGATTCCAGAGGGTTCATAGGATAAAAGCAAATCCGATAAATAAGTAGGACCAAGACCATTAAGAGCTTTATAAACCAATAAAAGGATGTCAAAATCAATTCTAAAGCAGACAGGTAGCCAGTTCAGGGACTTTAAATTTGGTGCAGAGTGGGCTCTCCTCCATCTGACCTTTGAAGGAGTTGAAGTTGAGACATATTTTTTTGGGGAGAGGCCAGATAACAGAACATAACAATAATCAGTCCTGCAGGAAATAAAAACTAAGAAACAGTTGCCACCAGTACAGTAGGGTAGCTAGTGGAATCTCTCTGGGTTCTCCGGCTTCCTCCCACAAGGTCCAAAAACATGTTGAGTTAACTGGTGATTCTAAATTGTCCATAGGTGTGAATGTGAGTGTGCTTGGTTTTTGCTCCAGCCCCCCCACGACCCTAGCGAGGCTTCGCCTGAGGCCCTACTTGCCTCCTGCTCAGCCCGTGCCACTAATAACAATAATACATTGTATTCATAAAGCACTTTTCATTTCAAAGAAATCTCAAAGTCTGTCCTGAACACACTTGGTAGTTTTAGCTTATCTTGCATTTAAAGTGTTTGTTGAAAGAGTAATTCCCTGCACAACTTTGGCATTACCTAGCCATGAACAAAGATACTTGACTTTAAACACCTATCTCTTTAAATAAATGACCTAATTTATCTACTTCACACTTATTTACTGGTACATATTCCTCATTCATCTCAAAACAAGTGAAATTTTAAATATCTGTTCTTAAAAGCCTTGTTTTACCCAAAGTTTTCATCAGTCTGGTAGGTCTGAGTGTCATGTTTTTAATTTCAGAATGGAATATACTCTTTCAGCATAAACATTTTGTGAGTCAAGGCCATGTACCATTGCTTTGCCCTTATCAACATTGTAACCGGCGCCAAGCGAGACACAGTTATGGGAGGCGTTTGACTTTGGGTCACCCTGTCCTCCTGAGGGACACAGTCGTTTACTTGGCTCTTGATGTGTAAGGCAGCAGAGATCTTCATTTTCATTACCCTTAAATGCATCCGATTACAGACAACATGAGTCCGCAAACACAACAAGAAATAAAAGATGGCATCCAATCACAACAAAACCATTGACAGTAGAGTAGGATACTAATGACTTTGGAGAGAAAAAACAAAACAAAAAACGTGATTGTATTATCCCTTAAACTGCAGTCAGAGAGTTGTTCATATGCTCTAACTGGAGTGGTGAGGTTAGAGGAAGAACATCTCTTAGTCATCCCTTTTTCTGTGCACACAAAAGGATTAGACAGACAACAACTTTAATGATAATCTGTCTCTGATAGAGGGGACATTGTTGCTCAGTTTAGCCACAGCTTCTCTCACCTTAAAGTCAGTCAAGTCCAGTAGTACTCTTAATTTTGAAAGTATCACCTTTCTGCATCTTTAACCACAACCAGAATAGCAAGTTGAAATATCAAGCAAATTGATCCAACGTCTTTACAGGCAGATGTTTTCAGTGGAAATGTAAAAATCTGGAAAACATCTTAAAAAACTTTCTACACTCTGTGTTTTAAGGTTTATTTAATATATAACAACGTCTAAACTTTCCTTACAGTAAAGGGACATACCATAATCAGCTAGAAAATGTTTCCTTGTGTAATTGCTTCCCGCATGGCTCTGAAACTCTTTGTGGCACACGAGCCACTTGATAAGAAGCAGACTATCAGGTGGCTGAGGTTCCCCTCTGCACAGAGAACGAGCTGTTGCAGCAACAGCAGAAGAGGCCAAATATCTAAATGAGCAGCTGTCACTTAATGTCCCGGCGTCTGTGTGTTCGGACGATTTACAGAAAGAAGCGACAATGTGGACATCGCTGTCAGTGTTCCTGCTCCTGTCAGTTTTATTCTTCTGTGGATGTGCGACTTTCGTGTGCCCACGGATCTGCCGCTGCTTCTCCGACACAATCAGGTGCAACAATGTGACAGAAAGATCAGCTGTGATGATGGGCGACAGGGATGAAAGGAATGAAAGACTGTAAGTTAATCACAGGTCCGGATTAACGACTGTGGGGTGATGTGTGTATGACATTAAACATTTACAGCGACGATGTTTTTTTAAGCAGCTAACTCAAATGATGGAGTCATCGCCAAGACGGGTCCGCGCGTATTTACGCACGGAGCGAGGCTTCCCTTGAAGCCACTTGCTTGGTACCATGTTGAAATGTGCTCAGTTTTAGGTTAAATGCTATTCTGCTAAAGTGGCTTTTGTAAATTTTACATGTTATCATTACTATTTGGTCAAGTGGAAGAATCGGTTGTCATGCATTTTACAATCTTGTCCAAACTTCACTCTGTCAACATACTGGGGAGGCACTGCAACAAATTTCACCGTAGTAATGACAGTATTTAATATCCTCATATTTCTTTTTCATCACGTTCTCAAAACCCAAACCATGCGAGCTTTTTAAAACCTTTATCATCATTTTATAGAAAATCATGGTAACATCACTGGTGCTAGTCAAATGATAGTACTGACTACTCTGTTAGTACATGTAGGTCTGTTACAAGGACAACAACCCTCAACTGTATATTAGTCTGGTTGAAAGTCGTTGTGGATATGATTTGTGTTTTGCATTCAGAATAGCACTGAAATCACAACAAAATATGAATGGATCTCTATTCTAGAAAGAGGAAGTCAGCTTCTAAGTAATGCTTATCCTCACTGTTTGATGCTTTTTAGCAAAAGCACATCACACCCTATTATTGGAACACAGAGTAACCTGCATGTGGCCAACTTAATTACCTATGAAGAAAATGTCAAGTTGATCTCACACGGTCGAGTACACTGTACATCCTTTCAATCTGTATAGTTTCTGGGCCTCAGAGCTCTCTCGTGGAGCTCACCAGATTGCCACAAGCCTTGAAGGTGGGGAAACTTGACCTCTCCTCTGGTAAATCACACAACCTTGAGTCTCTCCTGATAAGTGTTCGTGAACATCAAGGCTAGCACGCATGTATCGAATGCCACAGACATCTGTACACGTGCACTTCAGGAACTTTGTGTTTTGTCAAATTGCAAATAAATTGTCTTTTGTTTTTGGGTATTTTATTTGTTTATCATATTGACTGAACACAAGTGAAGCTGTTGCTGACTGGTAGAGAGTTGTTGTATGTTTCACAGAAGTTAGGAAATACAGTGAGAAATCACAACTTAAATGCTGTATTTCTAGTTGTAGAGAGAGCATCAATGTAACTGATAGGCTTAAAGTAATCCTGAAAATCATGACAGTCATTTCAAAATAATGTAGTGATTATTCACTATTTAATATTTCAACCCCGTGGCATGAAAAGAGTTAAATTTTTGTCACAATGCTTTAAGATCATTTCCTACAATGCCTCTAATTATCTCTGAGATAATTAAACTGTCCTCTCCATATTCTTTTTCAGGTTTCTCTATCAATTGTCTTTGCAAACTATTTCAAGCCATTCTTTTGAGGGATTGAAAGGAGTCCAGAGGATGTAAGTATCACATTTTTTCCACTGACAACCTCTGACAATAGAGTTTCTTGTTAGGTTTGGAGTAATATGAACTTCTGGTGCACCGCTCTGTGTGGCAGCAAGTCTACATAGCTCTTTCGCTGCGTTTCTTAAATGTTTTTATAGTGTCTGTCTGTACTTTTTTGTTCCCAAGGGGATGACTGACGTATCTATCTATCTATCTATCTATCTATCTATCTATCTATCTATCTATCTATCTATCTATCTATCTATCTATCTATCTATCTATCTATCTATCTATCT